GTTTCCCAAATGAAATTACTTTCTGGATTGTTTGAAAGAAAGGTTCTTGGTGATTTGATTTATCCTGAATCTTGCCTAGTAATCTTTATTACAGAGTGACCTCTGTTTTGCCTCTAAGTTGTCTTCTCATTCATGGCATGTGATGAATCGGACATTTTAGTGCAAAACATGCTTGATGACACAGACAACACAAATTGGTGATATTCGCATTTGATTCTGTGGGCATTCCATGAATGGTATGTTATATATTTATAATCCTTCCCGCAAGGCCATTGGAGTCTCAATTTCATCACATGTAGACCCCGTAGCCTGAAAACCAGTTCCTGCTGGCTGGGTTAATTAGTAACATGGGCCGGAGTTGCACTTCCTGTAAGTGGTGGCAATTCAATATGGTGGGCCAAGATGTTTTTTTTTTCCATAACAAAAATCAGGCTGGCCTAAAATGGCCCAAAAACACAAGTCACGTAACAAATGGAATCAAAATAGTGAAAAAAAAAAAAAAAAACTAAAGTGGGCCCAAAGGCACCCAAAAGTTGAAAGAGGCAAACAAATCTGCAAGTACTAACGAAAAGCAAGTTGGGCAAAATGTGACAAATTCAACATATAATATTATAATCCAAAAGGCTATTGGGCAGTAGGTGACAAATACGAAAGGGAAAAATTCATATGTCAGGGATTATCTTTCACGAAACGAAAAATCAGACCCCAAAATTTAAACCGTTCCAAACTAGTATTCCGAGAATTTCGATAACGTGCTTATTTTAAAATCTTTCCGATGATCGTACGCTAGCCGAATTCACAAATCGTCTATGTTATCTAGAAACTCGTTTCTAGAACTACGTCATAGACATATCAAATTGTACAAACAGGCATCGAAAATATTTAAAGGTTCGTCAAACGTATGTCTTAAAAATATGCTTCTAACTCGTCTTTCCTTTACTTTTTTTTAATTATTTCATTAGCATTTTTTATTTTTGTATGAAAAATTTCTCAATATAATTTACATAATTTTATTAGAAAAATTTACATAGGGTATGTCGAATGTAAAATGCCAAAATTTCAGTATCTTCCAGTGGGA